CACCTCCCACTCCTTTCCTTGCTTAATGAGGACCATGCAGGCGGCCTCTTTCACAGCTAGAGTTACTCTCTGTGCCCAGTAACTGCTTTGTTCTCTTGACACTCAGGTCTGGGGGTGATAATTCTCTCCCTGTTGCTACTCCCAGGGTGCTTCACTATTCTTTTCTGGTTTCCTTTAACCTTACCACACTACTGAAAATTGCTCCATTATTACATTCTCCTTAGTACCCCATTCGAAAGTGTCACCAGTTTCCTGTTAGGCCTCTGACAAAAAGTAGTTCTAACTGGTGAAGAGCACATCACATTTTGTAAAAATATGAATTGTAGGCCGGGCGCAGTGGCTCACGCCTATAATCCCAGCACTTTGGGAGGCCGAGGCGGGAGGATCACGAGGTCAAGAGATCGAGACCATCCTGGTCAACATGGTGAAGCCCCGTCTCTACTAAAAATACAAAAATTAGCTGGGCATGGTGGTGCACGCCTGTAGTCCCAGCTACTCGGGAGGCTGAGGCAGGAGAATTGCTTGAACCCAGGAGGCTAAGGTTGCGAAGAGCCGAGATCGAGCCATTGCACTCCAGCCTGGGTAACAAGAGCGAAACTCTGTCTCAAAAAAAAAAAAAAAAAATGAATTGTAGATTAAACCATAGAGCCATTGAAGGCCTTGGAAATGCTTCTACCCATTCACTATTAGACATTACTCTATCATGAAGATTTTCATGCATACAACATTGTCATGCTTTTTCTTTCTTCTTTGCACATATACAATTGTTTGATATTTCTAAAATTGAAGTTACTTAATTTACTGAGCTTTCAAAAAGATATACGTGTGTATATGAAAGTATATGTATGTGTAGGGGTGTGTGTGTGTCTGGGTGTGTGTGTAAAATTTTAAAAAGAAAAAGATTAAATAAATCAGTCATAAATTTATACTACTGAATACTTTATAGGCATTAAAAAGAATGAGAACACATGGACACAGGGAGGGGAACAACATACACTGGGGCCTGTCGTGGTGGGGAAGAGAGGGAGAGAGCATCAGGAAGAATAGCTAATGGATGCTGGGTTTGATACCTAGATGATGGGTTGACAGGTGCAGCAAACCACCATGGTACATGTTTACCTATGTAACAAACCCGTACATCCTGCACATATAACCCAGAACTTAAAATAAAATTGGCCTGGCGCAGTGGCTCATGACTGTAATCCCAGCACTTTGGGAGGCTGAGGCGGGTGGATCACCAGAGGTCAGGAGTTCAAGACCAGCCTGACCAACATGGTAAAATCCTGTCTCTACTAAAAATACAAAAATCAGCTGGGCATGATGGTGCCTGCCTGTAATCCCAGGTACTTGGGAGGCTGAGGCAGGAGAATCACTTGAACTCGAGAGGCAGAGGTTGCAGTGAGCCAAGATTGTACCATTGTACTCCAGCCTGGGCAGTAGAGTGAGAATCCATTTAAAAAATAAATACGTTAATTAACTAAAAAAGAATGAGATTGCCCTATATGTGTCAATATGGAAATCACTCCAAGACAATATGTCACTAACAAAACCAAGGTCAGAACAAAAAAACATAGAATCAAATGATTTGTGTGTGTATCATCACCAAGAGTGAACTGGAGAGGGTTCCAGATCACTGACAGTGAGTTCTCCTTGGGGGAATGGAGCGAAAGAGTGTGAAACATGCTTTCCCATTTCGCCTTCTATGTTTATGTATTGTAAAAGATTCTTATATATCTTTTATAACACATTTTGTGTTCGTCTATGCTTTCCCCTAAAACCTCACCGAAATGACAGTGAAGATATAAAGAGACAACAAAGAGCAAGCAGAACTGAGAGATGATTGCAGTGGCTCAGAGACACCAACAGAATTTCGGGAAGTCAAGGGCAGAGGATAAGCGGTAACTGGATTTACAGAACAGCGAAAACAGAAGCTTATGGTTTTGCAGAGGTGGTTGCCAATGAGAAGCACACTGACTCATGGCCCAGAACACCTAAGAAACTCAGAAGTCAGAAACACCACGTGCCTTCAAAAGAAGGATAAAGTGGGGGATAAAAACAGGAAAATTGAGAGTTTTTATAAGAAGAATTTCCATTCCTTGAACATCTACCCCGCTCAGATGTTCAGCAATTACACTTTCCCAACACCAGCAGGAAATGGGAGGTGTGATCCCTGAAAAAATTATGCTAAAGACTCTGAATTCAGGGATGACAGACACAACTGAAGGCACGTGGTGATCCAGTGAGACCCTGAGGCACTGGGCAGGAAACAGCTGGACTGAGTGAAAGGCTACCTACCCTGTGGTGACACCCCAGGCCTTCTCCCCTTCTCAGCCACAGGAATGCTGGCAAGAAGGCCTAGACCCTCCAGTCAGGAGTCTGAATAATTCCGTTTTAGAAAAGTTCCCCTCAATAGACCTATTCACCTTTAAGACCATCCAACAAACCATCCAGGTCCCACTTGATCACCCTACAAAGAAACCCACCAGTCGCTAAGCCCCATTCATGTTCTCAGAGCTTCTAATCTTCCATTTAGTGCCTCGCTTTAAAATATGAATTGGCAGATTTTTGAGGAAAGCCTCTGACATGCAAAAATAGGAACAAAAGCAAAAAGCAAAAAAGAAACTCGGTAGAAACAAAGACTGTGCAAAGAGCAGAAGAAAACTTCAAACAAACTATTAAAACCTCAGAAAGATAAGTGATGATATTGCATTTATAAAATAACAACAGAATGCTAAGACAATAGAATACCCAGGGAACAGGAAACAGTTTTAGAAATTAAACATGTTTTCAGTAAAAAATTCAGTAGAGGGGTTGAAAGGCAGAGTTGAAGAATTTCTCAAAAAGAGAACAAAAGAGCTGGAAAAAAGAAAGAGAAAAGATAGGAAAATTAGGGCAGTCCAAGAGGGTCAACCTCTAAATAACAAGGATTTCAGAGAGAAGGAAAAAGGAGAGGCAGAAATTGTCAAAATACTGTGTTAGTCTGAGTTCTCCCAAGAGAACCAATAGGAATATATACATGTTAGAAGGCATTGGCTCGTGTGACTAGAGAAGCTGAGAAGTCCCAAGATCTGCAGTCAATAAGCTGGTGACCAAGGAGAGCTGATGGTGTCGTTCTAGTCCGAGTCCAAAGGCCTGAGAAGCCGGACGGATGACAGTGTAAGTTCCAGTCTCAGTCACAGTCTGAAGGCAGAGCAAGACCTATGTCCCAGCTCCTAGACAGTCAAAAAGAAAGAGGGACTTTTTTTTTGGAGACAGGATCTTACTTTGTCACCCAGGCTGCAGTGCAGTGGTATGATCTCTGCACACTGTGGCCTTGACCTCCCAGGTTCAAGGAACCCTCCGGCTTCAGTCCCCCAAGTAGCTGAGGCTACGGGCCTCCTGGCTAATTTTTGTGTTTTCTGTAGAGACTGTTTCACCATGTTGCTCAGGTTGGTCTTGAACTCCTGAACTCAAGCGGTCCACCTGCCTTGGCCTCCCGAAGTGCTAGGATTACATACGTGAGCCACTGCACTAGGCTGAAAGAGTGAATTCTTTCTCAGTCTTTTTTTTTTGTTCTAGTGAAGCTTGAACTGGATTAGATGAGGGCCACCCACATTGGGGAGGGCAATCTACTTTACCTAGTCCACCAATTGAAACGTTAATCTCATCCAGAAACAACCTTACAGACAAAGCCAGAACAATGTTTAACCAAACATTTGGGCACCCCATGGCCCAATCAAGTAGACAAATAAAATAAACCATCACAGATACAAAATAGAAACATGTTCCAGAATGAAGGATGTGACTCCCTGGTGAAGAGTCCCAGGGAGAATGAGAAATAAAAATGATCTATACCAGGGCACATCACCATAAAATTTCCACTAGGAATAAAAAGAATTCAAAAACCTCCAGAGAGAAAAACAGAGGTCACAAGGGAATAGAATGGCACAGGACTCTCAACAAGAATGCAGGGAGCTAAGAGAGAAGATTGCAATGCCTTCAAACTTCGGAGAAAAAGGCCAGGCCTGGTGGTTCACAGCTATAATTCCATCACTTTGGGAGGCCAACGTGGGCAGACCACTTGAGGCCAGGAGTTCAAGACCAGCCTGACTAACATGGCAAAACCCAATTTCTACTGAAAAGACAAAATGTATCTGGATGTGCCGGCACATGCCTACGATCCCAGATACTCAGGTGGCTGAGGCGTGAGAATAGCTTGAACCCAGGAGGCAGAGGTTGCAGTGAGCCAAAATTGCACCACTGGACTCCAGCCTGAGAGTGAGACTCTGTCTCAAAAAAAAAAAAAAAAAAAAAAAAAAAATTCTGAGAAAAAAACCTTTCCAACCCAATTCTTTGCCAGCAAAACTACCAAATATGAGCATAGCAAAAAACTTGTTTTCAGACAGGCAAAATCTCAAAAACTTTGCTTTGCATCTTCTTTTTTTCCCCCCCCTCAGTGAAGCTTCTGGGCAGGTGTATCACTGAAAGAGGGGAATAAATTAAGAGAGAGGAAGCTCTGAGTTTGGAAACAGAGATTACAACAAAAGAAAGAGGCAAACTAAATTTCTGCAGGGATGGTGAAGAGATATCCTAGGATGACATAGTGTTGCAATTCTAGAGATCAGTCACTACAAACAGAAACAGAAGGACAGAATAATCTAGGAGAGATGTCTCCAGCAAAAAGAAAAAATAAAAACCTGCCATAATACTTGAGGTGCTTGCTGGAAGAGAATTGGGGAAGTGTAAGAAAATGTATATATATTTTTGAAAGTCTACTCACACAAAAAACCAAAACAAAATAAATAAGTAAGCAGTATTTAACTCCAGGAAAAGCAAAAAAAAAAAAATATATTGTCTAGAAAAGAAAATGTGAATATGATATTGCTTATTTGTAAGCAATATTTGCAGCATCATTATATCATAAACCTTGGATATTCAATTAATACAAAATTAAAACACATAGGTCGGGAGAAATATGTGTAGAGGGTTGGGTGGGAGGAGTTACAGTTAGAGGGTGTTACATCCTTATCTTCCATAGTAGGAAGGAAGTTGATAATGTCTGTCTGAATCTGTTGTTCAGGCTGCTGGAATAGAATACCATTTGCTTGTTCTAGGACAATAGAATACCACAGACACAGTGGGACAGGCACAGTCTTGTAATCCTAGCACTTTGGGAGGCCAAGGCAGGAGGACCACTTGAGTCCATGATTTTGAGACCAGCTTGGGCAAGGGAGATCCTGTCTCTACAAAATTTTTCAAAAAATTAGCCAGGTGTGGTGGTGCATGGCTGTGGTCCCAGCTATTTGGGAGGCTGAGGCAGGAGGATTGCTTGAGCCTGGGAGGTCAAGGATACAGTGAGCCATGATCATGCCACTGCACTCCAGACTCCTGGGTGACAGAGTGAGATTGTCTCAAAAAAAAAAAGGTGGCTTAAACAACAAACATTTATTTCTCACTGTTCTGGAGGCTGGAAGTCTTGAGATCAGAGTGCCAGCATGGCTGGGGACTGTTGAAGGCCCTCTTCCTGGTGGCAGGCTGGCGGCTTCTTGTTCTGTCTTCACATGGTGGAAGTGGGTTAAGAGCTCTCTGGGGTCCCTTTTACAAGGGCTGTAATCTCATTCATGAGGGCTCACCTTCGTGACTTAATTACCATCACATTGAGGGGTAGGATTTCAACATATAAACGTCGAGGGGACATACACATTCAGTCCACTGCACTGTCTATAGTTTAGTCAATAAACATAATAAATAGCTGCATAAACTTATTACTAAAAATAAGGAGTTAAATGTAAAGGGAAAACAACTAACTGGGTTAAAAGTTGTCTCTGCCCTTGGGGACCCTAATTCTTGGGCCAAATATTGCTGTTTTTTCTGTTGTTGTCATTGCTGTTTTTTTCTGTAGTTGTAATTGCTATTTGTTATAAATGTTGTAGTATTAATTGACCTTTCAAACTATGTCTGGGTCTGGGTATGTTTTAACTGCCTAAAATATTTTAATAATCAAAAGAAGGTGTGTATAAGGTGATTTAAAACACATTCAGGGCAATGGTTTCTCCTCTTTTCTTGCTTTCTTTTTTCTTTTCTTTTTTTTTTTGTGTGTGTGTGTGTGACAGGATCTTGCTCTGTCACCCAGGCTGGAGTACAGTGGCGTGATCATGGCTCACTGCAGCCTCAGCCTCTGGAGCTCAGGTGATCCTCCTGCCTCAGCCTCATGAGTAGCTGGGACCACAGGCACATGTCAACATACCTGGTCACTTTTTAAATAATTTGGAGAGACAGGGTGTCTGTACGTTTTCTAGGTTGAAGGTTTCCTTAATCTTTCTTGAATAAGGTTGGACCTAAACAAACTAGATATCTCGATGCTAATTACTAGTTTTTTGGGTTGCTGTTTTTGTGTTTTTTGAGATGGAGTTTTGTTCTTGTTGCCCAGGCTGGAATGCAACAGCCTAATCTCGGCTCACCACAACTTCCACCACCCGGGTTCAAGTGATTCTCCTGCTCAGCCTCCTGAGTAGCTGGGATTACAGGCATGCGTCACCATGTCCAGCTAATTTTGTATTTTTAGTAGAGATGGGGTTTCTCCATGTTGGTCAGGCTGGTCTCAAACTCCCAACCTCAGGTGATCTGCCCACCTTGGCCTCCCAAAGTGCAGGGATTACAGGTGTGAGCCACCGCACCTGGCTGTAAATTGCCTTAGATTTATTTATTTATTTATGAGACAGTGTTGCCCAGGCTGGAGTGCAGTGGCACAATCATAGCTTACCACAGCCTCAAACTTCTGGGCTCAATTGATCCTTCTGCCTTAGCCTCCCAAGTAGCTAGGACTGACCACAGATGTATGCTGCCATATCTGGCAAATTTTTAAATTTTTTTTAGTAATAAAGTCTTGCTATATTGCCCAGGCTGGTCTCAAACTTTTGGGCTCAAGTGATCCTTCCACCTTGACCTCCCAAAGTGTTGGTTTTACAAGTGTGAGCCACCGTGCCTAGCCCACCTACTAGTTATTAATCACTATTTTTCCTTAATTCAAGTACTCAATTCAAATAGCTAATTACATTAAAGCATATTTTTTATTATATTATTTGAAAGCATTTCTACCAGAGCAAAACATTTTTAAATGTTTTAAATATATTAACTGTTTTTGAAATATTGTTGCTAAGAATGTTTATAATCAGATAATCGTGTAATTTTATTTTATTCTTTTATATGACTTTTCTATTACACTGCTTTTTTTTATGTTTTGTTTGTTTTGGAGACAGAGTCTCTCACTTCGTTGCGCAGGCTGGAGTGCAGTGGAGCAATCTTGACTCACTGCAACCTCTGCCTCCCAGGTTCAAGCAATTCTCCTGCCTCAGCCTCCCAAGTAGCTGGGATTATAGGCATGTGCTGCCACCTCACTCAGCTACATTTTTGCATTTTTAGTAGAGATGAGGTTTCACCATTTTGGCCAGGCTGGTCTCAAATTCCTGACCTCAAGTGATCTGCCCACCTCGGCCTTCCAAAGTGCTGGGATTACAGGTATGAGCCACCACGCCCGGCCTATTACACTGTCTAAATAGCATCAAGGAAACAATCCCAGGTTAATACTTTAAAAGTTAATGAATTATTTAGACATATCCTTTAGAGATATTTAGATATATCTTCTCACATCATTTTCTCTTCCTAATCAGGGTTGAATTATTGATATCAGTGTATATATATTTTAGTTTGAATTTCTCTAAATTGTCTCAATGTAAGTAATACTCTTAAGCAAGTAGTTATGCAGAAAACAATCTGGAGGAATAGATGACAAAAAGCCAACTGAATATTTGGGAAATGGAATTGGGGAGATATTTTTTAAAGTGTTTTTATAACCTTTGTCATTTTTATAATCTGAATATATTTGTATATATGTAAAATAAAAGAGTTGCACATAGTAGGTTTGGGCTCTACTTATTGCATTTATTTATTTATTTATTTATTTACTCAGCCGGCATGTTACTCCGCTACCCAAGCTGGAATGCAGTGTTGTGATCATGGCTCACTGCAGTCTTGATCCCTCTGGCTTAGGCTCGAGGAATCCTCCCACCTCAGCCTCTTGAGTAGCTGAGACTACAGGCATGTGCCATTGTGCCTGGCTAATTTTTGTATTTTTTGTAGAGACAGGGTTTTGCTATGTTGCCCACACTGGTCTCGAACTCCTGGGCTGAAGCTGTCTGCCCACCTTGGCCTCCCAAAGTGCTGGGATTACAGGTGTGAGCCTCTGTGCCCAGTCCTATTGAGGTTCTTTATAGTTTTCACCTTCATCACAAGAGAATTTACAAGCACAAGCCCGGAAGGATTGCCTGTCGGACTTCACATGACATTCCAAGATCAGGTTTCACCACTTTGACCAAATGACTCTGAACTGAAGTGACCAAAGGCAACTGTCCTGTTCTAGACGGTTAGATCCTAGGCGGGGGAAGTATGCTAATGGCGGGGCCAGGAACCTCCAATCTAGGCTAATAGGCAATCATTTCTCAGTCCACAATCGGCCAAGGTAAATAATGCATAAATGAGCATAGGAAATGACTTTATAGCCTTAAAAAAACACAAAGAAATTCTAATGATTTATTTTCCATGAATACACTGGATACATTTTAGCCAATTTTTTTCCTCCTCTTTGTTTGTAGGGCGTTTTAATGTTAACCAGAAAATACAAATAACAGTTTCACTTTTTTGCTGTTACCCTTCTGACAGGCAGCCTCTTCTTTCAGAGTAGCTCTTCTGGCTTGAAATCTTGACTGGATTAGTTCTTCATTTTTCAGTTTCTGCTACAAGCAAGAAGGTAATTCTCTGTCTCATATTCTCCAGTGTTTAAATTCCTATTTCAGGCCTTAGCACACATTTAGAGATGCTGCTAATGTATGCATGTAATTCTGCAGGTTACGGGGGTTCTGCAGGTAATTCATAGGGGAGTTAGGAATAGAACCTTTTGAGGCTTTTTGCGCTACACCCGCCTGAAATGGCATAGGAAACAAACAAAAAAAAGCCCTGGGGTCTCTTTTGACAACTCTAGATCTTTTCTGACTCACCTCCAGTCCATTAGCAAATCCTCCAATTATCCATCTAAAAGATGCCTCTAGTGATCTGCTTTTCCCCGTTTTTATCCCTGCCACCCTGGGCCTTGCTCTCAGGAAAGATGTCTCCACTGAGACAGCTTCAAGACCATTTCTGCTTTGTTGCTCCAGTCCTTTGCCACACAGCAACCAGAGTGACTTTCCAACACAGTAGTTTGACCATGCTTCCCTCCTTTTTATTATTATTATGTTTTAGAGATGAGGTCCCATTATTTTGCCCAGGCTGAACTTCAACACATGCGGCTCAAGCAATCCTCCCGCCTCAGCTTCCTGAGTAGCTGAGACTACACCATTGACCTCAGCATATTATAATTTTTTTTTTTTTGGAACAAAGGCTTGCTCTGTCACCCAGGCTAGAGTGCAGTGGCGGGATCTTGGCTCACTGCAACGTCCGCCTCCCGGGTTCCAGTGATTCTCCTGCCTCAGCCTCCCAAGTAGCTGGGACCATAGTCATATGCCGCCACACCTGGCTAATTTTTGTATTTTTGGTAGAGACGAGGTTTCGCCATGTTGGTCAGGCTGGTCTCAAACTCCTGACCTCAAGTGATCTGCTGGCCTCGGCCTCCCAAAATGCTAGGATTACAGGTGTGAGCCACCGCACCTGGCCCGTATTATAATTTTTTAAAAGTCAGTTTGTTGAGGTACAATTTACGTACGGTAAAATTCACCCTTTGAAGGAGTACAATTCTATAAAATTTAACAAACAGCACATCACTGTATGTGAGTCCCTGCGCAGGCAAACCTTTCTCTACCCACAGCCACTGGTCATGGATCTATTTTTGTTCCTATCGTATTAGCCTTTGCACAGCGTCGCATAAATGGAATCATATGCTATGTAGTCTGGTTTTTTTTCACTTAGCAGAATGCATTTGAAATTTATCAGGTTGCATGTATTAGTAGTTCATTCCTCTTTATTGCTAAGCAGTATTCCAGCAATATGCTGTTCATCTACCCAAATCATCAGTTTTTGGCAATGATGATTAAAGATGTTATAAATATACAGGTTTACTTGTATATTGGGAGTGGAGATGACATATGTCTTCATTTCTCTCGGTTAACTACACAGGCATGGGATTGCTGGGTGATACGGTAAATGGATGTTAAACTTTTTAAGAAACTGTTTCTGCAAATGCTACACCATTTGCATTCCCACCGGCAACAGACCAATTCCAGTTGCCCTGCATCCTCTTGAACACTTGGTACTATCAGGTTTGTTTTTTTTTTTTTTTGGGACGGAGTTTCGCTCTTGTTACCCAGGCTGGAGTGCAATGGCGCGATCTCGGCTCACCGCAACCTCCGCCTCCTGGGTTCAGGCAATTCTCCTGCCTCAGCTTCCTGAGTAGCTGGGATTACAGGCACGCACCACCATGCCCAGCTAATTTTTTGTATTTTTAGTAGAGACGGGGTTTCACCGTGTTGACCAGGATGGTCTCGATCTCTTGACCTCGTGATCCGCCCGCCTCGGCCTCCCAAAGTGCTGGGATTACAGGCTTGAGCCACCGACTATCAGGTTTTTTTATTTGAGCCATTCTAATTTTAATTTGCAGTTCCCCAGTGACTAATGATGTTGAGAATCTTATGTTTTTATGTACTTATTTGTTGTTCATATCTTTTCTTTGGCGAAATGTGCAATTTTTTTTTTTTTCAGACAGGG